CTCATTGTGCGACATGAGCTGGGACAGGCTGGTGCTGAGAGTGCCAAGGCCAACCTGACGAAGGGCAAGAAGGCGAGCTCGAAGGCCAAGGTTGCGTCCTGGTTCGGCAAGGGCCTCGTGACCACCGTGGTGACGGCGTGGGCCCACAAGACGTGGGGTGGTGCTGCAGCGGTGTTCTTTGTGGGCTGGAGGTTGTGGCGTTGGCTGCATCTCGGGTCCTTCTTCGCCGCAGGGTACCACACCGTCTCGGCGGGGATGCAGGCGATCGAAGACCTGGACAACTTCCGCGAGTTCCTGGGGGAGCTGTACGAATCGGGCGACCTCGAGCTGTGCGCGGCATACCTGGGCTGCGTTCTCATCGTGATCTACGGGATCTGGACATACGGATGCTCGTGCCGAAAGGAGGTCGACTCGGACAGCGACTCGGGCTCGGACTCGGACGGCGGGTCGGTGCACGCTGGTGATGACGTGAGTGACGTGAGTGGCGACGAGCGGGACACCAAGACCCTGTTCGCGGAGTTGGCCCGCGGTCAGTCTGACCTGGCCGACGCTGTGGGCATGCTGAAGTCGAGGCTGGATGTCGGGGGCGGAGCGGGGGCAGGACCTGCTTGCGGCAGTGGGGCTCTGGCGTCGGAGCCAGGCCCGCCGCCCCCGCCCCCCGCGGGGCCGCCGCCGACCAGAGGAGACGACCCTAGCTCGGCCGAGGTGGATGCGTTCATCAAGAAGCTGACGGAGCACGAGGAGCTGGTGCAGCGGGACTCGGGCTTGAGCACCCGAGCGCAGGCAGGGTCGCCCACGCCGAGCTCGAGTGCAGCGTCCTGGGAGAAGGTTGGAGACCTGGGCGAGCTCGAGGACCCCCTGAAGGACCAGATCGTGCAGCTGAAGGAGGAGTCGAAGAACCCAAAGGAGAGCTTGCTGGCGACTTTGGAGAAGTATCGCCGCGTGGCGGGCTCCCCCGTGGGGGGGATCAGGGCCCGCGTGGCGCCGACAGTGCTGGCGAGGCTCTACAAGGGCGGACGGAGCGCACGCGTGGAGACGCAGGAGTGGCTCCGCTCCAAGGAGCTGCAGGGCGCGGGCATCGCGCAGGAGCTGAACATGCTGGCCCTGGTCCTTGACAGGATGATGAGCCAGGGGCAGTACGACGAGCTGATCAACTCGCAGGCCGCGGAGGTGACCTGCCTGCGCCTGTACTCGATCTGGAAGGCCTACGAGCGGGTGCAGTGCAAGAGCGACTGGCTGAGGCCCAAGGCGCAGCACGGCGGCAAGTGGCGCTCCAAGGTCGACTGGAGTCTGGCGGAGGAGTACCTGCGCCTCGACGGGGACCCCAACAGCGAGAACAGGGGGGCCGATGACGAGGTCCTGGAGAAGCTCAGGCGGCGGGCGATCCTCAGCAAGCACCTGGGTGAGGTGCGCTCGGGGCAGCCTGCCGGCGAGGACGAATAGGTTGCGGCCGGAGCTATCGTGGTGTGCTCTGGCCAAGGCCTGAGGGGTCAATCCCCTCTACCACGGCCGCGGCGGCGAGCCGCTTTCGTGCCGAGCTTCTTGCTGGACACGTCTTTCGGGTGGTGGTGCTACATCGGGCTGGTGAGCTTCCTGACGATCGGCTGTGGGGTCTTCCACGGCGGCGTCGGAGCGTCGAGGCCTTTCTTGTACTTGGGGCCTCGCGCCGTTCTGTGGCGAGCAGGTTTTCCCGTGCGTCGGAGCGCAGGTCGCTCGGTGGTCCCAGATGCCTACTGGGGAGAAGGATTTGAGAGAGAGGGATCCCTTGAGGAGTCTGCCTGGGCTCCCATTCCCACTACAGTCGAGGAGGTCGAGTTCGAGCCTGTCCGAGAAGGAGCTGAGGACAACCTGGCAGCGGACTTCGAGGACGATAGCGGCGATCAGGAGTATGGCGACGGGCTGTTCGAATGGTTGGATACATCCATCGACCCTGACGGACAAGCAGACGTGCCAGACGGACTGGAGTGCGAGTACGCCGCTACAGAAAAGACTGGTGACGGAAGCCTGGGACCTTCACGCCGCGAGGGCGAAGTGGGGGACCATCAACGACGGCAGGGCGGCATTGAGCCGCTTGGCAGGAGGAAGCCCGACAGAGTATTTTGCGAAGGGACCGAGGCCTACGACGTCTACGGCATCGAAGGCTTCACCGCAGTTGAGGAAGGGCGACCTGTGCCCTCTGAGGGCGGAGCAGGTGTCTCTCCCAGCGCCGGGGACCCAGAGTTTGGAGGTGGCGGCGATCTCGAGTCTCGCTGGGCGGTACCTCACAGAGGCCGGCCAGCTGATGATCAAGGGCTCGGGGGAAGTCGACTGGGAGAAGTACGAGGCGACAAAGAGCTACTCGGACCCGGCGTGGCGGAGCAAGAAGGAGCGCTTGGCACTTGCCCTGCGGATGGCGCAGGCTGGAATGATAACATATGTGACGAAGGTACGCGAACATGTCGGGCTGTTCACGGTGGCGAAGGACTTCGACCCCAAGACTGGTGGCATTGTGAAGTCGCGGCTGATCTGGGACTGCCGAAGAGTCAACCTGCTCTTCGTGGATCCCCCGTGGGTGCCTTTGGGCAGCCCCGCGGGCCTCGCGCTCCTAGAGCTGGACGAGGCGGTGCTGCGTGGACGGCGGCTCTTCTCCTTCCAGGGCGACGTACCGGACTGGTTCTATCGGTTGCACTGGGGTTCGTTTTTGGCGGAGTATTTTGTGGTGGAGGATGTCTCGCCGCAGGAGCTGTACCAGTACGGGATGGAGCAGGGTGTGGCTTTGCCGAAGCCGCGCGAGGAGGACGTTGGTATTGGGGCTTCGAGTTTGGTCATGGGCTCAGCGTGGGCGGTGTTCTTGGCCCACAGTTGCCTGGAGGCAAGCTTCGAGTCCCTGAAGGCCCCCAGCTTGACTTACGGCAAGCCCACCCCGTCGTTTGGCCTATCGGAGGAGGAGGCGATCAGGTTCCTGCTGATGTTGTACATCGACGACTACATCGGCTTCACCCTCGAGGGCGAGGACGGCGAGCAGAAGATCCAGGAGGACAAGGAGATGATCAAGGAGCTTCTGAACGGCAAGGGGCTCGCAGTGCACAAGGAGGCCTGGGGCGAAGGGGTGGAGAACGGCCTGGGCCTGTGCATCGCCGCCACGAGGCCCTACACGCTGAGGATCCAGCCGAAGAAGATGGAGCAGGTCGTGCTGGCTACCGAGGCGGCGGTGTTGGAAGTGGCTCTCAGACCTTCGGCGGTGGCTTCTCTGGTCGGGCACTGGACCTGGACCATGATGGTCTTCCGCCCCTCGTTTGCGATCCTGGACGCGACCTACAGGTGGCTGAGGGAGTTCGACGAGGAGGAGAGTGTTGTGCCGCACCGCTTGCCCGAGGAGGTCAGGAGCGAGTTGAGGGCCGTCGCGTCCCTCTCGGTCTACATGGAGTCGAACCTGGAGATGGGCTGGTGGCCGAGAGCATACATGACGGATGCGCCCAACGAAGGCTTCGGCGCCCTGGCCTGCGACTGCACGGAGGAGGACGTCCGACGGGAAGCTGCCCGTGGAGATGGGGGAGCTTGGGGACCCCTGACCGAGCAGAGCTACACCGAGATCGAGCGAGCGCAGGAGGCGATCGGCGAGGAGGAGGACCTCCCGGCCGCTCCCACTACGGGGCGACCTGGGGTGCTGGAGCTCTTCGCTGGGAGCTCTCGCTTGCTGGACTCGATCAGGGAGATGACCGACTCGTGGGGCGAGGCCTGGGACGTCCAGCGGGGCGTGGAGTTCGACGTACTGGTCACAGAGAACTTGGAGCTGTTGTTACGGAGAGTGCGGACTGGCTGGTTCTGGTGGGTGCATGTTGCCCCCCCGTGCGCGACGTTTTCGAGAGCAAGGCAGCCGCCGCTGAGGTCGAGCGATCACCCGTGGGGGCTGCCGGACTGCACGGAGACGGACCAGGCCAAGATAGACGAAGGGAACGCTTTGGCTTTGATAGCAGTAGAGGTGGTCAAGATCTGCCTACGCCTTGGCATTGGATTCACCCTCGAGAACCCCAGGACCAGCATGATATGGGCGTTCGCGCCAATGACCGCGCTCTTGGATCTCGAGGGGGTGTTCCGTGTGGAGGTGGATTACTGCATGTATGGCGAAGAATGGAGGAAGCCAACTACGTTCATCACCAACGTGAAGAAGATGGCGACGCTACAGCGGGTGTGCTTGTGCCCCGCGAGCCGATGCAGTCGGACTGGCCGTGCTCACCGAGAACTACGAGGACGATCACCAGGTGGACTACGGTGGACTCAGGTGGCATGTGCTTACCCGCTGGAGTTGTGCAGGGCATACGCGTCCACTCTGCAGGAGCTCGAGCCGCACTGGGACTCGATACCAGCGGGGGCCCGGCTTCGCCTGCAGGGCGATCGCGGGCGCGTCGTGCGAGCGACTGGGCCAGCCCTGCCTCTGCTGGGCCATTGGCTGGAGAAGAAGTGGCACGTGCTGTTTCAGGGACGTTGGTCTCACGCAGAGCACAACAATGTCTTGGAGCTGCGTACGGTGGTGGCGGTGCTCCGACACCTCAGTCGCACGTCCCAGAGCTGGAATCACCGCGCGCTGTTCTTCACCGACTCGTCGGTGAGCCTGGGCGTTCTCAAGAAGGGGCGCTCGTCTGCCAAGGACCTCTTGCACCTGGCGAGGATCGGCGGCATCATCCAGATGGTTTGCAGGATCCGCGGGTACTTCAGGTGGGTGCCGAGCGAGCTCAACCTGGCAGACGGCCCCTCGAGAGGTCAAGGCATAGGCGCGGCGGAGGACACCGTGGCGGGCCACGTGGGCCGTGGGGTACCGAAGGAGCTACTTCAGCGGCTGCAAGATCGGGCCCGACGAGGACCGCCTGGAGCTTCGCATTTGTGATGGCCATGAGCGGGCTGACGCTGTGCGAAGCGATGCCGCGGCGTGGGGTGGACGGCCCCGCTACGACCTCTGCAAAGCCCCCCCCTCTGGCCAAGAGGGGCGCTCGGGCCTGGGAGCAGGCCCCGAGTGACAAGCTGCACCACAATGTGAGGCTCGTGGTGCACGCAGTGGACGACGCCACGAATCAGATCTACGAGAAGGAAGTGAGGACCTTCCTCCTGGACGTGAAGCGGCACGGGCTCCCCTTCTCCACTTACGAGGAAAGGGATGCGGCGCTTGGCGGGTACATATCGGACATGTGCTACGTGATGCAGTTGCCCTTCGGCAGGGCGTCAGCGTTGTTCAATGGTTTCATGCACATCTTCGAGGACCACCGCAATCGGCTCCCCGTCGCGGCCAGGGCGCTGAAGTCCTGGTCTAGGATGGGCTTCCAGAAGGAGGGGGCGCCGGTGCCGTTCGAGGCGGTGGGGTGCGTGCTCTACGACCTCTTTGAGCACGGCCAGCTGTACGAGGGGGCCGCGGTGCTGCTGCAGCTGGACGGCTGGCTGAGGGAGCAGGACTGGGGCCTCCTCAGGAAGACGGACGTGGCGGTGGGCCCCGACGGGGAGGTCGGGCTCACCTTGGGCCGCAGAGAGCGGGGCGAGAAGGTGAAGACGGGAGCGAACCAGGGCGTCGTGGTCTCGTGGCAGGTGACGAAGGCCATCCTACGGGCGATTGGCAAGGGCGCAGCACCACGGGACCTCCTCTTCCCGATCTCGCAGGACAAGTACAGGAGGGCGTGGAGGCAGGCCTTCGACAGGGCGGGCCTGGCGGACTTCGGCCCCCCGCACTCGCTGAGGCACGCGGGGGCGGCGGCCTACATCGCCGCTGGCGGCTCGCTGGAGGCGGCGCGCCGGAAGGGCCGCTGGCAGACCACGTCGGCCCTTCAGCGCTACACGAAAGTGCACGTGCTGATCGAGCAGCGGAGCCGGCTCACCCCCGCACAGCTTGAGCGGGGGAGGGCCTTCTGGCGCAGGCCCGCCCAGCAGATCTCAGAGGCCATCTACCGTTCCGACGCTGTGCTGGCCCCGCTGGCGCGGGACATGGTGCACGAGCTCGGGGCAGCCAAGAACGACGAGGTCGCGCTGCCGCAGCTGGAGAGTATGGCGGACGGAGGCGTGGAGCCCACCAGCCGCCCATCCACTGCTGGCCGTAGCAGGGCCAGACGGCAATGAGCAGGCCAGCCTTTTGCGGCCCCCACTCTCATTTCAGGCCCCGCCTTTTGCGGGGGCCATATCTTTTGATATGAATGCAGGAGCCTCGAGATTTGGGCGCGTGCACCCTGTCCTCCACTTGTCTTCCTTGAACATTTGATAGATATGGGGAAAATATAAAGCAGGTTTTTTGGTGGGTGAGAGCGACACAATTTATCTCCCTTTCCCCCCCTCCCGAATGTGTGCCGCGCTCGTGTCTAGCTGTGGCTGGAAGCGTGAAGGCACAAGTGCCAGTCTAGTGATGACGGGACTGGGGGTTTCGCCGCGAGGCTTTTTGGCCCGACCGTGGGCCGAGGCACGGTCAGGTACCTCTCGGCCTTTTATGTTTCGGGCCTCACACGGGGCCCCGCCGCTGCGAACAGATACTTTCGGAGGGTGCCCCCTCCTCTCGAGCCGCTCGCTGTCCTGTGGGGTTGTCTCTCCCGCTGCTGCGTCGGATATTCTGTGGGGCCTCTTTTGATTAGGGTTGTCGCTCTACCCCCGCCTGCCCCCAGCACTCTAAAATCAAGATTTTATGGTATAGGCACGCTCCGAGTTAACATACATTCAAGCCTGGCTCTCGAGTGTGGGTGCTGTGTAAATACGCGTTTTTAAACACACTTTTACACACCCCCTGTAAACGTTCAGATAGCCGCCTCAACTGCAAATTAGGAGGAGGAGTAGCGCAGTCTCTCTCGTGCTTGTCCCTCCTCTCCTGGCGCAAAGTTTCGGCTCCCAACCCTGCCCACCCTTGGGCTTGTATGAGCTCGGGGGTTTCGCCGCGAGGCTTTTTGGCCCGACCGTGGGCCGAGGCACGGTCAGGTACCTCTCGGCCTTTTATGTTTCGGGCCTCACACGGGGCCCCGCCGCTGCGAACAGATACTTTCGGAGGGTGCCCCCTCCTCTCGAGCCGCTCGCTGTCCTGTGGGGTTGTCTCTCCCGCTGCTGCGTCGGATATTCTGTGGGGCCTCTTTTGATTAGGGTTGTCGCTCTACCCCCGCCTGCCCCCAGCACTCTAAAATCAAGATTTTATGGTATAGGCACGCTCCGAGTTAACATACATTCAAGCCTGGCTCTCGAGTGTGGGTGCTGTGTAAATATTCAATTACGGCGCTGTGCTGATGATAGCCCCGGGGGGGTCCTTAATGGCTTCTTGCGGTTGAACTGATGGCATTCGAGTCGTTCGGACGCCGCCCTCCCTCTTCCCCCCCTCCTCCTCCTCCTCCTCCTCCTCCTCCTCCTCCTCCTCCTCTCCTCCTCCTCCTCCTCCTCCTCCTCCTCCTCCTCGCCGACTCTTCCGCCCGAGTAGTTTTTCCACGGGTCCAGGTCCTGGTGAGGGCCCCCAAGGCCGAAGAAGAGGAGCAGACAGGTGAGCGACGTTAGAAAACGGGGCTGTCTTCGCCGGCGTTGGCGCGGAAGCGTCCCGAGTGCTGTCAAGCGCCCTCGTGTCCAAGGCAGCGTGTCGCGCTGGCGGCCCGCGTAAGCCACCGCGTAAGACTTCCTTCTTTTCGTCGTCCAGTCGTCTTCATTGCTCTTTTTTTCATAACTCAGAGGAGCATAATGTCATGGCAGTGATACGTCCCGAGATTTTAAAGGCTTCCAGCATCTCCTGTATGTCCGCATGCTCCACACGAGCTTCAAACACGAGGGCCCCCAGATCCTCTGGCAATGCTGGAGCGCCTCCTGAGACAGGCCTGTCATTGTGATCTTGTTCACTGTTTTGCCGATCCGCGCGGGCCCTCGCACCCCCTCCACACACATATGGAGTAGATCTTGGCTGTTTGGGGGGCTCCCCATAGGAGTCCCCATTGGACCACTGTTCCAAACAGTCCCGCTAAGCAGAGGTCCGGAGCCAGACCCTCCCCGCTCCCCCCCCTTCCGCTCAATGTCGCAACGCCGAATAAGAAAAGGCTCACATGACATTACAGTGGAGACCCATGCCAAGAAACACCCTGCTTGCCTCCAGGGTGCCCTGGGTTTCTTGGGGTGCGATGCTTCCGCTATGGACAGCTTGACGTTCCCACACCAAAAATTCAGTGGACTTCCTGGGGTCTCAGGGTTGGGGGGTTTCTTGTGGAAGGTTTCTTGTGGACCGGAGGAGGAGGAGAAGAAGGCGGAGGAGGAGGAGGAGGAGGAGGAGGAGAAGGGGTCACCTTCCCATTGCCACCCGCCCGATCGGAGAAAGCTGGTCAGGCGCCACCCAGGGCGGGGTCAAGGGACCGCTTTTGTGAAGGGATCCGGGTCCGGCGAGGGCCGCCGCAGTATGACCTCCCCGACAAGCGTCCCAGACATGCGATCTCCTGATTTGTTCAGGACGGCGTCCCTGGAAGCCCAGACCCTCTCCCCAGGACCGGCTTCTCATCCCGAGTCGTTTCTTGGACGGCCCCGAGGCCCGGCGAGGGCCCCCCGAGGCAGAGAACAGCCAGAAACCTCCCGCCCTGATTTTTTTTCACGACGCGATCCTGTCTGGGGTTGGAGCCCTGGAGGGGGGGGGGAGCGCTGCGCCCGAAACCGCTCCGCCGCGGCGCCCCGCCTCGCCGGCGGGCCGCCCCGCCCAGCGCCGCGGCCGTGGTCACGGCACCGCTTCACGCCGGGGGCTCCAAGATCCTCAGACGCGATCGCGTCGTGAAGATAAAATCAGGACGGGCGGGGTCTGGGGTTTTACGACGCGATCATGTCTGGCAGCGGCCGGCGAAGGACGGCGTCTTCAGCGCCACGCTGCGCCTGCGCGGCGTGGACGGCGAGGCGCGGCGCCGGGCCGCGGAGGCGCCGGCCGCGCAGTGGGAGGTGCTGCCGCCCGCCGCCCTGGTCCCCCGGGGGGTAGTTAAGGGGGGCCCCCCCTCTTTGCTCGGGCTGTGCTGGCGCGCTTTCTCGTTCTTCTGGTTTATCGATTCGAACCCGTGTCCTGGTGGACATGTACGTTCCTCCCTTGCGCGTGGCACAGAGCCGATGGCTGCCAAGAGCTGGGCCGAAATCGGGCCTGTGGGCCCACGGCTTCCCATCCTCCGAAGCTCGACGCTCCGTGCGGGGAAGGGACGGGTCTTCTTCGTTTCGGGGCCCCTGGTGAGTGCTGACCTTAAGCCGGGCCTGTCCCTCTACAGGGGGGATATTCAAAAATTGCAAAAAAAAATATCGTATGGGGACGATTTTGGTATTTCGGGGTATTGTTTGGATGATTTGTGTTAACCATCTTGAAATGTTTCGCCCCAAATCCGCCTGTCGGGGGACATGCCCGACCTGATGCTGACCCTGCGACTCCGCCCGTGTGCGGGTGAGAGTTTCCCGGGTCTGGCGCGATGCGGGGCCCAAAGGTGCATCGGAGGTAAACAGACCTCCTGCCCCGACACGTCGATTAAGGAATTGGCCGTTTGCGGTTCGCGAGAGGGCGTCGCGGCCGTCATTCTTGCGGGTCCAGGTCCGTCGGTTTCGGTCCCAGGCCGTTTTCGCGAAGGGGAGGTTTACTAGAGGGAGGCTTGTCCACCGCCGAGTACACCACCACCACCTCCCTGATCCCCTCTCTCTCTCTCTCTCTCTTCCAGGAAGGAGGCGAGGAAGATGAGGGAGGAGGAGCCTGGCCTTGCCGAGAGGCTGATGAGGAGCAGGAGGAGGAGGAGGAGCAGGAGGAGGCTCAGGAAGAGGAGGAGGAGAACGAGGAGGGGGAAGGGGGGGAGGAGGAGGAGGAGGAGGAGGAGGAGGAGGAGGAGGAGGAGGAGAGGAGGAGGGAGAGGAGGAGGAGGGGGAGGAGGAGGAGGAGGAGGAGGAGGAGGAGAGGAGGAGGAGGAGGAGGAGGAGGGAGGAATCGACGTGGTGGCGGTGGTGGTGTAGATTCTTGGGGCCCGCGCGTGGGGCCCAGGAACAGGTGCCCTGCTGGGCTCCGGCGGCCGTCCCCCGCCGCAGCTGCGAGAGGCCCGCCTCCGAACTCACAGCCAGGGCCCCCTCCTCGCACTCCTCCCCTCCCCCTCGCCTTCTCCCCCCCCTCCCTCGCCTCCCCCCTCGCCTTTCTCCCCCCCCCCCCCCTTCCCCTTCCCCTCTGTCCTGCCCCTCCACCTTCCCCGCGGCCTCCCCCGAGGCCTCCCCCACGCCCGCCCTCCCCCGAGGTCCCCGCGTCTGCGGCCGCCGCCCACCGTGCCGCCTGCGCCGCCGCGGTGGAGATCTACTGCTGACCGCCGCCGTCGCGCGCGGCCCGCGCCGGGCGCGGCCGGGGGACCCCTGCGCGGGCGCAGGTCGTGTGCCTGAGGTGAGCGCCAGACGGTGGGCGGGGGGGAGGAGGGGGAGAAGGGGAAAGAGGAGCAGGGGAAAGAGGAACAGGGGAAAGAGGAGGAGGAGGAGGAGGAGGAGGAGGAGGAGAGGAGGAGGAGGAGGAGGAGGAGGAGGAGGAGGGGAGGAGGAGGAGGAGGAGGAGGAGGAGGGGGGGGGAGGGGGAGGGGGAGGGGGGGAGGGGGAGGGGGAGGGGGGGGGAGGGGGAGGGGGAGGAGGAGGGGGAGGGGAGGGGGAGGAAGAGGGGAGGAGGAGGAGGAGGAGGAGGAGCAGGAGGAGGAGGAGGAGGAGGAGGAGGAGGAGGAGGAGGGGGATCAGACTAAACCCAAGATGCATCAACGATGCTGCAATGCACCCTTCGTGCCGAGCCTGCTCTTCAGAAGTCGCTACAGGCCGTCCTCTCCACTGCAAGAAGCGCCCCTTTGAAAGACCAGCGGCCCATGGGTCCGCCGTTCAGGCGAGAGCCACGCTCAGATAAGGACCGAACTATTCTGGTTCTTCGGACTAGTGGCGGCCTGCTTCTGTCTTGTGTGGCGCCGTCGCCTGCTGGTCAGTATCAGGTCGACTGCTGCCCCACTCTTAGGGTAGCAGATTTGGATCTGGAGTTGTGCGTGGCGTCGTCGCCTGTTCAACCAGTTGTTCCCCCTGGGGAGGAGTTAGTCGCCCGCTCCCCAGTGGTGTATGAGGGTAGCTGCAGCCGCCGATGGCAAAAGATAAAGGAACGCGCAGAGATATGATCAGAAAGTTCGAACCGGGTGTCCAGCCATATCCTCGTCAATCGCCCCCCATCTGCGCAGTCTTTCCACGGCTGCGTTTCTGAGCGATGTCTTTTTGACGGCGCTGAGCTGCTACACCGTGGATGTGTAAGCTATGTGGTGCATCCTTTTTCGTGTAAACTAGGTGGTGCAAACAAAACAAAAATCTGCGCAGTCTTTCTGCGCACGTCCCCCCTTCTGGCCCCGAGCGCCGAAGGAGGTCTCGAGCGAGAGCTCCGTGCTGGAAAGCAGCAGCCCTCCGCCCGTGCGGTCTGATCGCACAGTGAGCGGCCTGAATAGGGAACACTTGTGTTTCAGAAGGGAGTTCGGGGGGGATGGAGGGAGGGGGGGGGGGGGGGGACGGGGAGGGGGAGGAGGGTGGTGGGTGGAGGATGCAGAGCGCGATCTTGAAAGAAGTTGCGAGGCAGTGTCAGGCGGGAGCCGTTGTCGCTGTAGCTCGGGGCCCAACAGCGCACTGCGAGGCCCAGGCTTGACCCCTTGTAGAAGTCAAGGTGCGAGCCCCAGGAGGAGCACTCGACTTGAAAAAGTTGGGCACCGAAGGGGGGATCAACAATGATTGTCCCATACAGCGAGCGGCTTGAATAAGGAACACTTACTTTTCAAAAGGGGCTCGGTCGTTCCTTAGGTTTGCATGCATGATGTACAGTTCCTGATGCGTTATGTGTTACATATCGTTCCTTGTGCGTGATTCCTTGGGATAATAGAGGAGCTTCGTTCCTTATTTATCGTTCCTTAGATCAGGCCGGTGACTGTACGTTCAAGGTCCACGGCGCAGACGAGCGTCCAGCGAACGCCCAATTTTGAGAACGAGCGGCGCCTCATCTGCGCAGCGGTTACATCTGATCCAGCCCCTGTGGTTGCATGCAAGGATGTCTGAAGCGGGAGCCCCACTTAAAAAAAAAACCTCCATCTGTTACTTTGCTGCAGACCGTCAGGACGGATGTGCGCGGCGCTGAGGCGACAGCCTCACTTTTTAAACGACCCGCCCTCCATCCATGAACGTTTTGCAAACATTTGAGACGAACGTGCGCGGCGCTATGGCGGGAGCCCAGTGTTGAAAAGGAACCGCGACTTGTTGCAAATTCATCACGCTTCGCGTATCCCCACCAGCCCGTCCAGGAACGACGCCCAGGCGAGTAGAGGGTCGTCCTGATGGGCTTTTCGGCGTCTTGGGTGCCTCGGGGGGGGCCTCTTTGGGCCGTTTGGGATCCTCTTGGGGGCCTCCTGGGGGCCTCTTGGGGCCATCTTGGGGCCCCTGCTGCCTCCTGGGCGCTTCTTGGGGCCATCTTGGAGGAAGGCGGTCAAAGAAGAGGGGAGCTTTAATTAGCGCTGCCCCCTCACAAGGCCAAAATGGGGCCAAAACCTTAGTAAAATCAATGAGTTTGGCTTGAAAGAAGAGGGGAGCTTTAATTAGCGCTGCCCCCTCACAAGGCCAAAATGGGGCCAAAACCTTAGTAAAATCAATGAGTTTGGCTTGAAAGAAGAGGGGAGCTTTAATTAGCGCTGCCCCCTCACAAGGCCAAAATGGGGCCAAAACCTTAGTAAAATCAATGAGTTTGGCTTGAAAGAAGAGGGGAGCTTTAATTAGCTCTGCCCCCTCAGAAGGCCAAAATGGGGGCCAAAACCGTAGTAAAATCAATGTTGTTGGCCTCAAAGAAGAGGGTTTTTTCTTTCTCCCTCCCCCCGTCGGGGCCAGAATCCTCGTGAGGGGTGTCGTTTTTTAGCCCTCCCAGGAGTCGAAGAAGACCCCTCCAACCACCCGCGGGACGCCCTCTCCAGGCCCAGGGGGAGGGGGTAGGGGGAGGGGTAAACCCCTCCCCGAAGGGGAAGAAGGGGGGTTGAGAACAGAGAGAGCTCCCTAAACCACTCACGCCCAAAGGGCTGGTGGGATTTTGAAGACGAATGTGCGCGCGCTGAGGCGGTTGAAGCTGTTGCAAGATTTGAGTTTCAGGATCATGAACTGTGCTGGAGTCTCAGGCGGATTACCTGGCCCACCCTACCAACACGTCTGGGGACACGACAGGGAGAGTTTTCACAAGGAAAGGTGGATGGAGGTGGTGCAGGCGGAGGGAGGAGCCATCTCGAGGGAAGCGGGATGGAGGCGGTGCAGGAAGAGGAAGAGGACGAGGAGGAGGAGGAGGGGGAGGAGGAGGAGGTTTCGCCACGTTGCAGGTTGCCTGCCTTCTTCTTGTGACAGTGATAAAGACCACCACTGTGCGTGCTGGCGGGCGCGCGGCTAGGTGCGTGGTTGGAGGACGCTGCGGAGTCGACGGCAACACCTGCCCAAGTACTCCTCAAGCGGGTGGGCGAGTCCCGCCAGGGGTCAGACATGCCTGGCGAGAAAGCCCCAGAGCGCGAGTCCATCGACACTCCAGGGATGACTGCTGCAGGGTCGTGAAGGCGCGGAGGATCAGCGCACGCGAGCCCAGGTGGCGTGCCAGGTCGGCCCCACACACCAGCTCACGTGCACAGGCACGCTGCAAATTAGTCGGAGCTAGCCTCGGAGGCGGTTCCAGGACTTGGTCGAGTAGCACCCTCTGCTTCCAGCAGCCGTAGCAACGACGCTACCGTATGCAGCACATGGGCACGGGATTCGTCACTGTACTCCTCCTCCAGGGTGGGGGTGTCCGCCGAGGAAGGAGAGGCCGCCTCCTCTTGATCACCACTGGGGCAAACACTGACTGTAACTCAACGCTTGGGGTGTTTACCCGTCAAGACCAAACTCCACGAACACCTTCGCTCCGGATCCCCCTGTCTGGGCAGGGGCCTGCAAACTTGGCGGAGGCTTCGGACTTGCCCGCCGCAGGCAGGTGTAGAGTTTGCAGATGACACACATACACGCGCACGCATACACACACAAACACACACACACACACGCGCGCACGCACGCACGCACGCACGCACGCACGCACGCGTACGCGCACGCACGCACGCGCACGCGCACGCGCACGCACACGGCAAAACAGAAGCCTGGAGTCGCTGGCATCGAGGGCTCCAGGACCGATAGGTGCTGGAGCACCGACAAGGACTCGACAAGAACTCCCTCGACAAGAACTCCCATCCCAGAACCTCGACAAGGACTCGACACGGACTCCCATCCCAGGAACCTCGACGAGGACTCCCTCGGCAGGCCGGGACCGCCCACCTGGAGCCACGGAGGCAGCGAGGGCACTGCCGGAAGGGTCCGACCAAGACCAGGCGTGTCCACGGCCAGCGGGGCTAAATCCATGTCTGGGCGGGGAGCGGGCCCCCGTACGGGCGGAGGAAGGCGTAGGAGGCGAGGGGAGGAGGAGGAGGAGGAGGAGGAGGAGGAGGAGGAGGAGGCGGGAGGAGGAGGAGGAGTAGGGGAGAGAGGAGCGGGAGTGGGAGGAGGAGGAGGGGGGAGGAGGAGGAGGAGAGGAGGAGGCGGAGGAGGAGGCGGAGAGGAGGGAGGAGGAGAGGAGGCGGAGGAGGAGGAGGGGGAGGAGGGGAGGAGGAGGAGGAGGAGGAGGAGGAGGAGGAGGAGGAGGGGGAGGAGGAGAGGAGGAGGGGAGAGGAGGTAGGAGGAGGAGGAGGGGGAGGGAGGTAGGAGGAAGAGGAGGAGGAGGAGGAGGAGGAGGGAGAGGAGGAGGAGGAGGAGGAGGGGGAGGAGAAGGAGGAGGAGGCCAAGGAGGAGGAGGAGGAGGATGAGGAGGAGGAGGAGGAGGAGCCCTGGAGGGAGGTCTGGGACGGGCCCCGCCCCGCCAGAAGGCGGAGGAAGCCTTGCTGCAAGAAGGGTCACTGTCTGAGCAACTCTGCGCTGCGTGCCAAGGGCTTCCACAGCCTCCGGATCAAGCTCGGGGTGGATGGTCACAGCATGCTTCTCAGGCAGATCTGCAGCAGGTTCAGCTTC